TGGTGGCAGTGCCATTGGAATTGTGGCTCAGCCCTCCTGAAATATCAGGTGTGGTTCTGCTGGAGCAAGGGGGATCTGTAGAGAAGGATGTTGCATATTCACACACTTCATACACGATGCATAAATTCCATTCAAATACAGGATTCTGTCTGGTCATTGTCAGCTTCTTCCTCAGAATCCTAACAGCGCCTTCAAAGCAGGAAGAAGTTCATTTCTTCTGATAAGAGAGCAATAAATTCTTTTCCTCTGAAAGATTGAGGTGTCCTGTGACTGCTATCTGGTGTTAGTCCTTCCTTTAAGGAAAAGTCTCTTACATAGCATCGTTTCTATTTTAACAATTTTTATAACCTAAAACTATATTTAACACAGCACGTAAAGAGAATTAAAACAGCATCACTTTCTAACACAACACATATAATATTAATTTCAATATTTGCAAAAAGCCAGTCATAAAATAAATGCATTTTTCACAATAGCCACCCATGTTCTAGGACCACTGCCTTGCTGCCTGAATAGCACAGGCACAGCTAAAGGATTTAGACTTTCTTCTTTGTAAATCTGGCCTCTGACTTCATGCCAGTCTGTTAATTGAAAATTATCAAAAGATTTTTGTGTGCTTTCTAATTTTGGGATTAATGCTGGCGAATTTTCAGGGTTTAGTGTCCCAAACACTGGGGGGGAAGGACTCTGGAGCTATTTGGGAACAGATTTTTTTGCGAAATTCTTTTGTGTTGGGATCAAAGGGGCAAAATAATTCTCTGTCTGTGCTGTGTTTATGAAAGCAGCTGTCATATTCCAGCCTTCCCCTCCTTTGTGTGCGTGGATGCGGCTGTGCGGACGAGCCGTGACACAAAGTAGTCCCACTCGGTGCTAGGAGCGGGGAAGGCGAGAACGCGGAGGGATATCAGGGATGGGCTGTGCAGCGTCCCGCGCTGCGGAGGGATCTCTCGGTGAGCTCCTGTGGGGAGCTGCCCCACGGTACCCCTAAATGTGACTCCCACAGCCCCAACTCTGCCCCCTGGCCCCTTATCCTTAACCCTGCTCCCCTATTACCTCTAAATCTGCCTCCATGACCCCGAACCGTGTCCCCCATGACACCAAACTCTGCCCCCAATTTACCAGAACTGTGCCCCACACA